ACTCATGGATAGATGGCACCTGGTGATTCTCTTGTTCATCATTGTTGGAGCTATTCGCCTCTGAAGTCATCTCGTCATCTTCTTCTTTTTGTTATTTTATTAGTGATTAATATATTATGGGTTATAATGGTTAAATATGGTGAGTAAATGTGATTAATAGATGAATAGTATGTATATGAGTGCATGCAATGACGATACTTAACTAAACTTATCTTAACTTATCTCTATGCCTAACATCTCATATTCAATGAACTTCGCCATCTATATGACTTCTACTTAAATTCTGCCAAACCGCACCTTCCAATAAGGTACTTCTCACGAGGCAGTTAATCGTATCTCATGCAGTTAAAACATCTTCCAATAAGATGTTGTTCATGCTTGATGATAAATATGTGATTAATAAATTAATGTTAGTATTATTTACAACTCACTTCAGTTAAAGACACTGAGGTAATATCGGTTAATAAACTATTTGATCAATTAATTATGTACACCTGGATTATACGTTATGATGATACACACGTTATATTTCATAGTAGTTATCATGCGCACACACTAAGTGTGTTTAGTGCATTTATTACTCATGCACTGAATTAGTAAAACATGCTTTGAATATATATATATAGTTGGTTATATGTGATTATGTATTAGATCAGTTAATTATTTACATCTGGTGTTAAATTGATCAAAAAGGGGATTCTTGAGATGATAGCGTATGATGTTTCGACCTCTTCTTCGCTCTAGGCCTTTTCATTGTCCGAAGGACAACTATTTATTCTCAGGCCTTCTAGAAACTGCTGGTCTGTTAAAAGCGTTAGTGTGAAGTATGATGTATATAGCAATTTTAATAAATTCCCCTTTTATTCCTCATGCATTTCAAGGTTTAACATGCAATTTATATTCTTATAACACACTTAGTTTTTCACAAATAGCACGCTATTCTTTTAACGCAAACTTTTATCGTCGTTACAAGTATATAAAATGTCATCATGGTCAATATAACGTTTGACCTAATTTGGGTGACCTAATGTTTTACAAATTCTTAATCACGACTTATAGTTGTATTCACATGGAACTTATTGTCACGTGACGACCTTCTAGTCTAATTATGCTCTCCATCGTCAATAAAACTCAATATATATATATATATATTTTATTATTGTCATCCAGTTAATATTTATGACAATCGCAATCGCAACTGGAGCAAAAGAAACACAAATCAACACATCGGTCATATTTATCCCAAAACAGCTCTTTTCTTTCCGAAACTCAACTGATCCACTTCAAGTCATATGTAAACCGTTTAACATCTTTGCCATTTTCCCAAAGATTTTTCTAGTAGTATCAAAGTGACCGGTGATTTTCACGACAAAGACTCTTCCAAATTTAATTCAACCTTAGCCGCATTAACAATTCATTTTAGTAATTAGTTATGTTTAATTTTCATTAAATCTATCATATAATAGGTTCACTCTGGTATATATAATTGTCTTTGATCATCAGAGAACAATCAAAGTTCTGATTTATTTTTCAATACCTACAATAAGGTATATGTTTTGGCAGTTTGTGCTTACAGCATTCTGATACTCATCACATTTTTCTGTCTTCAACAGAAATACATACTAGTGTGAGGCTAATAGAAAGCCACGATTTCTCATGATCTTACAGCGTATGACCTAATTATCACTCATTGCCGCTTTTATCAATAATTGATTATTGGATATTTTCATAATTCTTGCGTAGATTTATTTCCTCATGATAATTGAATTTTTCAGAATTTTGAAATATCTAAATTGCACTGATAATTCATTTTGACTCTAGTTAGCGCTTTCTTTGGAATATTAGCCGAAATGTAATCCGACTATGGAATTGTCAACTTGTTCAATCGCCAAAGATACGACGTCAGATACTGTACATCACGGCGTAACAGTGTAATTGTTCATTTTACCGACAAAATGCAAAGATTTACGCGATAAATATGCGCAATGCTTCTCCAAGTAATTGCAAACGTTTTAATATTCGTGGAATCTTCTTAAAAACTTCAAGTTTTGTTCAGATTAATGTGCGCTTCAATACAATTCTATATTCAAAAAGGTTGTGTTACGATATACAGAATTAGAATCACCAGAAAGTAGACATTTCAAACCCTACTCGTTTTCTTCCTTGTCGCGCTTTTCGGCCCTGCGCTCTCGTTGTCGCACCGTCTTTCTGGACTCTTTCACAGTGCCCCTTGTCATATTCAACTGATATACACAGACGGGAAGATATTAAGGATTGTTAAATGCATTATTTGTAATTTATTTTGACTCGAATATTTAGTTTTATTTATTTAAAGCAATGAATAATAAAGGAGAACATATAATACGCTAACGGCGTAACGTCTTATTTTGTAAAGGCTTCACTTGGAATTGCGGTGATAAAATAATGTCTATCTCAATATATACTGGTTCAAATTAAATGAAATTAATTGTATGTAGTAAGGGGTATATTTAAAAGAACATGCTGAAACATTGGAAAGTTTTGAATGTTTATCCCTCAATTAGAAATATTTGAACTCAAAAAATGAAACGTAATTTTGTGAATTTTTCACATAGCTTCACTTCATATTTCTTTCAATTTATACTTCTTACAGACTGAATTTTAATCGAAATGATATAGTTTTTTGATAAAAACATAGAATATGATATGCCTTTCAGGAATCAAAAAAGAATAATTCAACTTTCAAACGATTTAATGTATAATTGATCAAAATATATATCTTGTTGGTACGAAATTCTGCCTGTCCACACTTTTTTTGCATAAATATGAGCGTTAAGTTAGCATTGTTATATTATGACGTCATCACACAGAATCTGTTTGTCTTTTCCAAAATGGTGAATTTAAATATTGTGAAAATTTGACCACCATCTTCCACCCTAAGAAATCATTCTTTCCGGACAATAACAACTTAATTAATGCGTTTTTACAACTCTATTCGATATAATACTTGTAAGCTGATCGTACACTTACTTTCCTGTCATTAAAGCAGGTTTCTGATTTAATTATCTACATAATTGGGGAATTATTGATTGTTTCCGATTCCCATAAAGAATTTTATAACTTGCTTTATTCTAGCAAATAATGGGGTTCTACTTTTACCCTCCTTAAAACAATACTAGTACTTCATAACTCTTCTCTACTTCATAATCATCATCTCTCTCATATACATATTTACTTTTATTATACTCGACATCTTCATTACTTATGTTCTCCATTGACTCTTCATTGGTCAATGCTTAATTGCTTTCTATAGCATTTCTCATTATCTTATTCTACCATTAAGAATCATTTTGAAGTGAGACTAAATCAGGAATGAATCTTTCCTTTTAATGTACTTCACTATCAGATTCAAAATATAGCTTATGGGGTTCTATTTGACTCCCATTTTAAATAGCTTTTAAACTCTCTTAATTTCTTTATATCTCTTAATTACATAATACTCATTTTATATTAATCATCTTCATTTCTTATGTGTATACACTATATCTTCTTTTATTTATCTATTCCATCGACTTCTCTATGGTTGAGGATCAATTATCTTCATATGCCCTTCTCCTAACTCTTATACCCTCTAGTTTTAATTCATTTTATTGTGAATTATAATCAGGAGCTTTATACCTGTTATTACAATCAGGAGCTTTTATACCTGTTATCTTAATTTTCACAGACAGATTTGAAACATTTGCTAGGTTTATCTTCTGCATCAATCATCACAGTGATTGTGTCAAGATTATAACCTTCAGGTAATATTTTATTTGGCATTCTCCTGTTTCTAACTTATCTCATATTTCTAACTTATTCTAACTTATAACAACATATCTCACATTGCTTACGCAATCGTAGGTGTGGACATTACATTGACCACTTGATATCCTTCTGATAAAGGTTTAATCAGCTTCATTAAATGACTTGCATGTTTTGCAAGGGTCAGTCCACCGTTCCTACTTATTGACTTTTATACCTATGATGAGTATTTTAGTCATAAATCTTATAAACTTCTCACCTACTCTCTTCCAGTGTGGTGTTACCTTAAGTTATTCACCTTTAAGAATGGAATCATTTCTCTAGATTCCTCTCAAATTTTCTTATATGTGATCTTACTTTAATTATGTATCATTTCTTGGTAGAAACTTGTCTACTTGATACTTTATTGCGGATTACCGTTTCAAATCTATATTTTTTAGATTTACTGATCTTATTAACTACGTTAGGTAGTTATTAACTTTTAACAACTGATATTAATTTACTATACCAGTATCAGTAACAGGTTTTGTTTTTATTTTTGGTTTTCGACGGGTCACAATAACCTAACTTGCCTGAAGCAAAGAGCTCATAAAATATTAAGGCATGCGTTTACCATGCATATGATTCTCTTGGATCCTGCGTTCAGGAGTTAACTTAGGAACTAGTGACACGTATGTACCTTAACATTATCATATTCTTTTGCAGAGGTATGCACACTGCATTTGATAATTTTCATTTGTAATTTTTCTTATAGACCTACTCCTGGTCATAAATTTACTGGATCGAGAATATATTGCTAAACATTTCCCTTCGAGAGATTTTCGTGAAGTCTATTTTGACTTTAGCATAAACAGCTAGTCTTGATTTATGTAGGTTTCTTGAATCAATATGAGAATACAATTCTAGAATGGCCTCAATTAAAATTTTTATGTTAAAGTTAATCATGATTTCATGTAACATTTATTCAAAAAAATTGACAATTTGCATTTTGTCCTATTTAATCCTTATATGACAAATAACATCATCGGAATACTATATGTCTGATTGTTATTTGTGTGAACGTTTTTCTTTTAAATTTAACCTTTCATTTCCGGTTCTTATTGTTCTGATTTAAAATTCAGGATAGACCTAAATATCATAATTCTATAGGCATACGGCTTAAAAAAAACTCTGTGTCAATTAAAGACTTTTTGAGCGCCTGTGTCAACAAGACACTTTGCCACATTACCAAATAATTTTGCTTTTCAAAGCATTTTCTAAGTATAAATCTTTCCTGAATCTCAAAGTCCACTATAAATTTCTCGCGAGGATTGTCGTCAACATTCTTTCTCGAACGAAACTTAAGTCTTCGCATCTCTAGACTCGGCTTTTGGCGCTTAAAGAGTCAACTTGACTTGTCTTATCGAAATTTTGAGTAACTAACTCACTTTTGTTATTTTCCAACTCTAAATGTATTTGACTTATACACTCAGCTAACCAAAATGCTGACTCGGCAAAAACGAGATCACTTGGTTGCTTTGAAATAACAAATTTTCTTAATTCTGGGAGAACGTTTTTGTTTAAAATTTTGCGTTTGTTCCACCCCAGCTGCAAATGCGATGCTAAACGTTTGATATCTTTCACGATCTTAACTGTCTTAATTGATTTCTGAATCCTAGAAGGTGATCGAGCTTGTATATTACACATTTTCCTACTTAAATATATTTGAATTGTTCTAATTTGTTCATTGTTCCGCCACTGTAAGTCGCCATTAACATTGTTAAACAATTTTACAGGGCCTTGATGATTTAAAGCATTTCCATCAAATGTTTTTATTCTAAATTTATTCTGTAGCTCATTTCTATTTTGGATCAAAATCTCTAGCCTATTCATTTTTCTCTTGAAGTTCTGCAAGATGACCGTGTCTAACTATTAATGAATCTATAAATAGCCTTGTAAATCTGGGTTCTGACCTGGTTCTAACACATTTGACTTGAATAACTATCGTTATGATCTACTCTACTATTATCATTTATCATAATTCTTAACGAAATTCTGAACCTCGTTTTCCTCAAACCACTGTACAGCTATTAATTATCTGTCTTAAACCTAACTTCTCGCTTGGCATTTTAGAGAAAAATTTATGTTAGTTGATGTATGATGAAAACATGCTTTTTTCATGCATTTAGTTAATACTTACATAACCTTTCTTTCTTTTATCTACGACAGCTTCAACTTGTTACCTTTATTACCCGGCAGCTCCACCAATTGTTACGGATCGCTACCTGCACAGCGACACCAATTGTTACGTTCATTATCCGCACAGCGACACAAACTTGTTACGTATCGCTACCTGCACAGCGATGCTAATTGTTACGGACCGCGATCGTAACTGTTGCTTCGGGATCTTGTGGTCATTTGGTACTCGCGAGGTTCCTTCCTTCTAATCTAACACGACTCATCCAGATTCGTTTCTTAATTTATT